TATGCGGCGTCGCGAACAGTCCACAAAGTTATTGTAAAGATGTTGATCACAACGTCAATACGTGGCAGCGCATCACACGGAGACACATGAGTCAGACACGCCCGAAAAACACCTTGGAGTACTGAGGAGCACCCAGGTTGCCATTGGACACGTGCGTTTGTTTGGAGGCTACCCGCCTGGCGGTGCGCCACGGACCTCGGTGAGGCGGAACCAGGAGTGGCGTGCGGAGCCGCCACGTGGTTGTTTGAGGGCCATATGCCCCGTGGGGCATTACGTGGTTGCTGACCGCGGGAAGTGTGCTGTTTGATGGGAATATGGCCCTTGGGGCATTACGTGGTGTTTGATTGCGGGCAGTGGGGCGTACTGTGTGGAGTTGCGGTGGAACGGCGGGTGTGGCAAAAAATTCTGGGTATCAAAATAGCATCATTGAAGAGTGGGGGGTACTGGCCAGAGCTTGGGGGGGTACAAGTACTGGGGGCGTGGCGAAAGCTGCGGGGGACTCTGTATTGTTGCACTCGGCCTAGCAGCTGTAAGAACGGTTTTGCGACGTTCGCATGTGCTTCTCGCGGCGGTCTAGGCACTCAGCCTGGCTGCCTGACTCCCATGTGTGCGCAGTGGCCTCAGCGCAATAGCGCTCAAACTTTTGAACGTCGCTGCCAATCTGTGCCGTTGGTGAGCCGCTTTCCTTGTCGTTCAAGACCAGCACTGCCAGTGCGGTCGTGCTGCCGGCCAAAAGTGACCAATCTTCGTGGGTGCACAGACTCGCCGGGGCGGAATTTCCGTCGCGGAAAGAAGCATCTTTCGTGTATTGCATGGCTACGCTGTGAACAAAGCTGCCCCAACCCTTGTGGCTGACCTGTGCCCTGACCTCGCTGACCTTTGGGGTGTGGTTGCGACGGGTTGTGGCACTCTGGGGGGCAGTGGTGGGAGGTTCTACAAGCGCGTTTGCATGCTTGACGGTCAATTGGATGTTTGCCACTCGTATGAACTTCATACTATGAAGCTTCCCTTGCCGTCGTCGTGACAAGCAGTTCTTCGTGAAAAGCCAGTTCGCGCGAGGGGCAAGGCTTGTTCACTCAGTGCACCCTCAACTGACGTGGTGCTGAGGCTGTCGACGTGGGTCAGCTGCCCGTTCAGGGGTGATTTGACTGTGCTCTCTCCGGGGATGACGGCCAGAATGGACCGCCGCCCTTTACATGGCATTTTCCCGGAATGCAGCACCAACTCGGCACAGCACTGTAGGGGGCCGCCACTTGTGCAGGAGATGCATTGCGTTTCCACTGCTGTCTGAGTGGACTGAACTTTTCTTCAAGAGTGGGCGCCTTTGAACCGTCTGCGACTCGCTGGCGTGGACTCTAGATTTTCTGTCCAGCCTCTCGGCCATACTTTCATTTGTCCAATCACTGCGCTCCAATGCTTTGCCCACACAGAAAACAGCCGCACTTCACAATACTCTCCTCCTGGAGAATTGCCCAGCCTCCCTCCCCCCGCCTCCTGGCCCTTGTATGGCTGAGGTGGATTCAACAAACACTCCCAACCAGCATCGCGGGAGCAATTTTGCCTGTTAATGCCTTGCGGGTGGAATGACAGCGCTTTGTCATTACGTGGCAATAATTCATCAGATGGGCGCACGTTCCCGTCGTAATCTTACCCACACACCCACACACCCACACACAATCCTCTGGGCCCGATACATCACGTTGGGCGGCATTCTTCTAACAGTGTTAACAAAACAAGGGCGGCACTTCTTTTTCACAGTGTTAATTAACACTGCAAGCTGCACCATACACGTTGCATGCGTCGCTGCCATCTACTGTCCGATACCTCCCCAAGCCACAGCAGCGAAGCTGAACACCAAAATCAAGCTAGTTGCAGATATACAGAAACTAGGGGACCAAAATTGCACATTATGGATGTACAAGTGCGTGTTCACCTCACCCCAAGATGCACCTCGTCTTTGACACGCAAAGTCGCTGCTCTGCATAAACACAATCAACATAAACATAAATGTAATCAACATGAACTTGAGCTACGTTCGTCAACATACCAGAAGAAATGCTGTCTTTTGAGGAAGATTCTATCAAAGGGGAGCACACCGTGCCCTTCCAGCCAAAAGCACAGCTTGAAGAATTTCCACAAAGGCAGAGAACAAACAGGACGACCAAGTCAGCACCGTTGATCCTGCAAGAATTATGTTCTGCGTTTTCTGATTCGTTAGCTCTCAACACGCGTTCCAGTCCAATTTGTAGGCCAGCGATTGAAACCCGCCACCCAAGGGCCTCGCTGTCCTTGCCGGGACTGTTATTTTCGTATCTCGAATCCGCAGCCCTGACGGCACAAGACTCGACCAACAGAGTGATGCCAGGCAAGGAAATGACTTGCGCAGTTCCCAAGGCCAAAGGACCACGTGTAACAGCAGCAGCCCAGCCACAGGCTGGCGGGCTGCCAAGCAACTCGCTGCACTGGCACCCGCCTTTTCTACTCCCACTCCTTTTCTCTGCTGTTCACTGCTCAGGCTGTCCCTACGCAACTGCACCACCTACCAATGCAGGTACGGCTGGAAATGTTCAACAGGGGGCGCAGTCTTTGCATATTTGCCCAGAACGCCCCATTCTGAACAAACTTGATGTCTGCATTTTGAGCCAGGTCAAAAATTCACCACTCACAAACCATTTGCAGGACAATGAGGCTCAAGTTTGTCCAGGGCCTCCAGGTCCAATGCCATCATATCTGACAGGCTACCTATACGAGGCAGGTCACACATATTTGCCGCACCCAAGCCCACCCCATCCGTGTCGATGTAGGGGGCAACCTGAAGGTCCAGCGATGCCAAGTCGGGATAGCTGAACGACTGAGCCATCTCCTGGAGGTCATTAGCCAACCCCGTCCCTGCACCCTGCATGTCCCTTTCCGAAAGCATGAAGTCTGTAGTCACCCCTGGAAGCCCCAAATCAGGGCTAGGCCAACAGTTGGCCAACAAATTCGAGTCAAAATCCAAGTCCATAGGGGAGGACAATGCCAAGGAGCCTGACAGTCCATGAGGCTCCGTCCCCGGCAAGGCGCTGGGGAGGTCTGGCACTGGGAGAAGAGGCGCTGAAGAAGGGACGACCCCGCCCCCCAACAAACAGTTTGAGACTTGCCCTTGTTGTGCCAGGTCCCTCTTTGATATGCCGGTCACTCCATTCGTAACCTGTCCCAATGTTCCAGGCACACTGCTTGCGGGCAAACAGACCCCGTTTGCCTGCAGCAGTCCCCCTGACCGCTGTCCCAGCTGCGACCCACCACCCATCCTCTGTCCCTCCATGCTCATCTGTACCGTCCCAAACGGCTGCACGGCTGTGATTTCTTCCCCGGGAATTGACGCCACTGGCGGCGCAGCCCTCCGCTGCAGCTTCTGCACCATCTGGAGCTGCTGCTCCAGGAGGTGGTTGAACATCACGATCTGGTCCTTCACCTTGAGCCGCAGGTAGTAAGCCCAAAAGAACTCGGGGTTCTCCCTCTCCAGCTGCTGCCACACCAGGGTGGTGAACCTGGGCTCCACGTTCGCCTGTGCCTGCAGCGTGCTCACCACTTCCAGCTTTGGCATGTACGCCTGCAGGCACCTCTCTATCAGGTTCTGCACCAGCTGTATGTCTGACGGTGAGACCTTCCTGCCGTCCCCCAAGGCATGGATTCCCATGTTCCCCCCCGCCGCCTGGAGAGAGTCTAGTCTTGGGGCGGCCACGGACAGCTGCAGCGGACCAGGCATCACGAAACGGGCGCCGGCTTTAGATTATTTGGCGGCGCCGGTGTGTGGCCAGTCAGCCCCGCTGAGTCGTTTGAAGCGACGTGTGGAGGCCGGGGAGGACCGCGCGGGCCTGCAAGTTAGCACAACAGCCACGCAGCTGGGAAGTAAACATTAAGTAGAGATTCCGCCACGAATGCCACCCACTGCGATTCGGTGGGGCAGCCCATCCTGGGGACATTCCCAGCCTGCTGTACTTAACAGTGACAAGTGTGTGAGGTCGGCGGCACCCCCGGGTGGGCAAAACGCAGGCAATGCGATTCGCATCTCTCGCTCGGGCGCGATCAGGCCTCCCCGGATCCCGAGAAAATGGTTAGAGGTGGAGTTCACAGGCGGCCCGCAAGGAGCGCGTACCAGGGGCTCCGTCCAGGTACCGAGGCAGTGCCCAAGAGAATCACGGCAGCACCCGGTTTCCGCGCCATGCCCGACCATGAGCCGCCGATTGTCAAGTCATGCACCGTTCGGAGCGCCTTTGCGAATCATTGCACGCCCCTTCTCGGCGGATGAAAAGGACGGGGCGACCGCGACGGGGCCAGCGCGTGTTGCGCACCGTAGAGGGGGAGCTGGCGGGGAGAGTGGTCGATCACGTCCCACCCTTGCCACTTGTCGCCTTGGATGAATTTTGGAGACGGGCGCGAGGCTTCGGAGGAGGCGGTGGGCCGCCGGCGCGACGGTCAGCGCGGCCGTTGCCGCGGGCGGCCTCCCTTGAGTGAGTGCAGTTTGGCGCGCTGCGGCGCTATGGCTGCGCGGGCAGCGTATTCGCCGTATTCACCGTACGTGCGACAAACATGTGCCACAGGAAGCACAGGAGAACATGTTTGCCCCTCCGTCTCTTCCGTGAAGACCCTTCTTCCGCTGACAAGGCCGACGCCGGTCGGTGGGTCAGTGGTTCAGGTTTCAGGGTGTCCGAAACAAGAAGGGATCTTCACGGAAAAGACACAGCGACTAACTGGGTGCCGAAGTATAGACCTGCCAACGCACTGCGGCACTGTGCTTGGCGGCTGTGACTCACGTGCACCTTACAGTAATTTTTTTATTCCAAAATATTAGTTCCTGTGTCTGAGATTACTTGTCGTCTATTGGAAGACAAAATTCATTACAAAGACGGCCTCAAAATTACCAAACAAGTTCAAAATCGGCAAGATTGGGTTCCAAAACCCTCAAGTAACAATTTTCAAGAAGAGAAAGTGGGACACGACCCCTTTGAGTATTGTGGGAAATGTAGATTTTGGTCATTTTGCCCCCAGATATCGAGCTTTCCTGGGTAAAAAGGACCATTGTTACGGAGTACGTCCAAATCCTCGATACTTAATGGTTTGACTTGAAATTTTGGTAGTATGCTCCAAACTTACAGGCACAACTTTGGGCGAAATTCCATTGAAAAGAGATAGTGGTGCGATGGAGAAGTAATGCCCCAAAGTCGTAGACAACAATCTTGTACGGAGGGAGTACATAGCCTTTCAGTGTCCAGGTGCCTCCCCGTCCTGTCACAAGATACGTGGGCCTTACCGTGCTTGTGTGGGTACATGGGATTAACTATCTTGTTAATGGGTTTCCGCTCAGGGCGACGTTGGGCGGGCGCTGCTTATGTATAGTCTGTTTTGGCGGCCCTTGGGTTTCTGTCCTCATGTACCTTGGCCAATTCGACACGTTCAAGGAGGGCCAGTGGTTTTTGGCGCCCTTGGAGGTGACGGGCTTTGGCGGGCACGAGCGGGGGAGGCTATTTGGGCTCGCCCTTCGGTCCCCACTCTATCTTGTTTCGCTTCCCGCCCAGCCCAACCCTATTAGGGTGACGCTCGGTTGATTGTGGGGGTTGATGGTAGGGGAGTTAAGTACGGAGAGTGGGACTGACTCAGAGTTGAGTTATGTATGGTGATGGCTTAATTACTAGAGAAGCGACTGGGCACCCGAGTTGTGGGTACCTTGGGTTGCTTGCGACAAACGGTCAGTGTATTGTAACGTATTGGTCCAGGGTTTGTGTGGACCTGGGTGGGACAAGGAGCCCGTCCAGGCGGAAACATGAGACTCAACTGTTCTCAATTGCATTCATCTTGGACTGTTTCAGTTTTAGTTCTTTTCTTGGTTTGGGGCTGACGTTTGGCAAGATCACAGTCGGGGCATTGTGGACAGATGCCCATCATCACGTTGTAGATGCAACGTCAGCGCCACATCAATTGCCAGCACATGCGATTATGGAATTCACACCTCTGTTCATTGTCTTCTACTTTCTGTGTTTCTTCCCGGCCTGCCATTGGAGGATTTATGCAAACTTGGAGGTGGAAGCCAAGCATGCAAACCACCAAAGGTGTGCACACTGGCAGTTGCGTGGTGGACAACACTGGCCCATTCCAAAAATTCGCGGTTCTGGACAGGATCTACCCACACAGGACAGATGTCACACCTTCTGGTGGTGATGCACTCAAAGATACTCCATACATGCTAACTTCCTGAGCAATGCTGCACCAATACAACAGTGGGAAGCATAGCCAGTGCCCATGTTAGCACAGCAACGCAAAGATGGGCCATTCCCATTGCACCCGATCTGCTTACAGTGCTGTTAGGACAATCACACAATGGATGTATTCTGTCCCCAGCCCTCAAGGTGGTGACAGCACAACACCATTTCTGGCTGATGTTGATGCACCCCAAGTCATTATATCCTTGAGTTGATGGTGTCTCTGTGATGTAACTTGTCAAGCAGATGGACTTGACAATATCATGTTCTCAGGACATCGTTGGGGAACCTGTGCATCTGTCCCATCGGCAAGGGAAGCCACTGAGAACTACAGATAAGCTCCATCCCATCCACCCATTTCAACTGGAGATATTGACACCACAGGGCGATGCACTCTTGCCATACAAAGATGCCCCTACATGTCCAGCAACTGCACTGCAACCTCCAGGACGTTTGCAATGCTCTTCACCATTGCATTCTATGTGCACTGACGATGTCCAACCCAGAGCAGGCAAGTGCAATCCAGAGAGCTCCGAACAGTAAGACTCCCCAGGCTGTCGTTGTGCCATTCTTGCTTGCCAGTGCTCCAATATCCGCTTAACTGCGCTTTGGCCGCAGTCACCCCCAGCATGGCAAGCATGGGTTGATCACCAGCAATTGATCACCAGCAGGGAATCACCTGACTAGGCATATGCTGGCTCCCTTGACAGGCAGCATGTTACACATCTTCTCCAGCATCCAGCCAAGGGGCCCCGGTACTTGGCCCCCCAGCCCAAACCAAGCCTGAAATCGTCACACACCGCAAATGCCGCCTCCCTTTTCCACACAGCACACCATTGCACAAACCATTCCCCCTCATGCCACAGCGACGGCCTCCATTGCCCCAAATGTCCGATCTCCACAGGGAACAGACACGGCGATCCTTTCTGCAAGCACCACAGCATCCGCACCCTTCCCCCCCTCCCCCCGTTCCCAAAGTTTCTCGAATCATTTTGCGACGTGTCCCGGTGAGATCGTCTCCACAGTCCTGGTCCCGTTCTTATCCACCACCTTGATGACATAGTCCGACGGCGCCACCGTGATCCGGCTTATGACCTCCTGCACCCCGCGTGCCATCAGCGCCACGGCCTCCTTCTCCTCCATGTCCACCTTGGCGTACCGATCGAAGAGCGACAGCGCGAAGTAGGACCCGTAGCCCATGCCCGCGACGTTCGTCTTGTGCAGCGTGGCGAGGTAATCCATCCAGTACAGCGAGGGGCCGCAAGACTCATCGTAGCCGGCGATCAGCATGTTGGCGTTGTACGGCTTCTTGCGCAGGCTGGTGGCCAGCTCGTTGCGGGTGAAGTTGGCCACGGCGTGCGTGCTGAGGCGGCGGGAATTGCGGAGGGCGTAGAGGCGCACGTTGGCTATGATGAATTCCGAGAACTGGGAGCGGTCACCCGGCTGGCCCGCCAGGGCCATCACCTTGTGGCTGTCGATGGGCACGATCTTGTCCTCGTCGTGCTTGATGGTCAGGATCTGGGACATCTGCGCGTTGGTGTCGGCGCAGACCACCACGAAGTCCTTGCAGCACATGCCCATGAGGAAGTCCATCGGGGCCCGTTCGCGCCGTGGCCGCCGGTGCGCTGTGGTGCGTGCGGGCGGACGCGAGGGACTATTGTTGCCTGCGAGAGGTCGCTGGCAGCTGAGAGCAAGCCAGGACTGAAGTTACGATTAGGGAGTTGTGGCTGGAGTTCCAATTAGGGAAAGTCTGATAAGGGTAATACAGTGGTGCTGTTACGGCTAGAACTGATTGAGTGTTGTTAATAACTGAATCCATGGAAAGATGATGAAGCACTAGGAATTGCACAAGGATGTTGATGAAAGGACGGAATATAAAGGACAGAACGCTTGTTGTCCTTTTGCCTCGGCTGTAAACCGTTGTCGTGGACTCGAGCGTACAATTCCCGTTCAGGGATCGCCACCCCTCGATCCTGCCTGCCTTCGTCAGTGCTTATCCCCGCACTTGCACCAAGCCGGGCAACGAAGTTTTGGAGCAGCGAGGGAAGAGCTAGCTGGGAAGCTGTGAGCAGAAATTCTAATTAGGGGGCTGTGAGCGGAATTTCAATTAGGAAACATAGCTGGGCCAATGCTGTGGCGCTTTTCCGCCACACTCGCAGTGGCCTTGAACCATGGCAACTCCCCTGCCCACCTCCAAGTTGGCGCTACCGCATGCAATTTTCTCCTCCTCATCGAGAAACGTTACCGTTCAAGGAAGTGGTAGCCGTAGGTCATTGAAACGGGGACGTAACCTGTCCCTTACGTTTGGATTTCCAAAACGGAAACACAAACATGAGCAAGGCGTTCGGGTTTTCAAAACGTGGACGTGAACGTGCTCCAGAAGACGAGATCCATTTATCTTCCGCTGCCAGGCTTATGATACCTTCCGTCGAAGCCACTCTCGTATTTTTCGATGTCGCAATGCAAAAACACTTTCTGCTTCGGTTCCCGCTCGCCAAGGCAACCTCGACCATATGACCTTTCAAAAATGGGAACGCAAACAGTGTACGCTTGGGCTCTTGAAGCGGAAACGCAAACGTATACCTCGAGTTTTGTCTTTCAAAATAGGACGGCAAACGTGTAGCGTACGTTTAGGTTCTGCAAACGGGACAGTAAGGTGTTATTCATGTTATGTTGGCGTTTCGGCCCTAGCAAAACGTAAACGTGAAAACCACGTTCGCTTATGCCCACCACTGGTTCAAAGTGTGTTAATCATCAACTTCCTGTGTCGCCCAAGCAACGCAGTGTGCATGTCTTTCTCAATGAGAGCCAACTGGATTCTTGCCTGGCTTCTTGATTTTTTGTCGAATAACAGATCCGTTATACTTCCGGAAGTATCTGGGGCATATACTTCCGCTATTCAAATAGCATGTAAGGTCCACTTTTTTAGTCCTCTTTGCACTTTCCAGCATGTACATTAACTTGACGCATTTTCCTCCACTCACTGGCCGCTGATTGGCTGCACCAATGCACCACTGGTGCACTATTGTGCACTAAATTACAAGAATCCTGTGGCGAGTTCCCAAACGGTCACCCATGTGTGGGACCCACACTGTGGGTTTGTTGGGAGAGCTGTTACACTGGACACAAACGAACTGGTGAAGGCAGTCGCTCACAAATTCGCTGCGTCCAGCCTGGCGGGAATCCAATCGTTTCTTGCCGAGAGCATGTCGTGCACACAATGTTTCAGCGACCGTCATCGTTCCCTATACGGACCACTGATACGGAGACCGAGACCCTGTCCATGTACCCGGAAAATCTAAGAACTCTAATAAAACTAAGAACCCTAATACCCCAAAATATGAAACGCCCATTAAAACACTGAAAAAATCCTAAACTAACTATGTAGTTGTGAGTGTACATGTGTACATAAACTCTGATGCCCTGACGCCCACTCCTGGGCCTCCGCGGGAAGTCGGGGCCCCACCGGCAGCATGAACAGGGAGGCTGCCAGCGGGCTGACCCCGCAGGAGATCGCGTCACGCGGCATCGCGCCCATCAAGGCCGAGTTCCTGAGGCCGGCGGAGGCGCGCGTGTACGTGGACGCCCTGATCAGTGCTGGAGCGCACGTCGAATCGGCAAAGGCGAAGTCGAAGAAGCAAAGGAGGCGGGTAAGATTTGTTACAAAGCAGGGTTTGTTACAAGGTGAGATTTGTTACAAGGTAAGATTTTTTCAAGGTGAGATTCGTTACAAAGCAAGATTGTAGCAATGCACAAGCTGTTACAACAGAAAGGAAAACGGGTCATACAAAGGTCACCCCCTCCTGGGCAAGTGTTCGCGAGACTGTTTTCCATGCTGTGAAAAGATGATGGGGTGTCTCCCAGTGCGGAATGAGGTGAACGCAATGCAACAATGGTGGAGGCGGGTGCGCGGATTCGGCTGCCTGGGGAAGCGCGAGCCCGCGGTGATAGATTGTGCCGGACGTCGCTAAGAATGGCATGTTCCCCGGCGGTGGTGATCGGGGAATTGGGAAAGGCTGGGATCTTGAACTGCGGTGCCGAAGGAGGAAGATTTGTTACAAGGGAACAAGAAACAGGTTGTGCAAATGGCATCCTCTCCTGAACAAGTCTGTGCGAGGCTCTGTGCCATAGTGTGGAAAGATGACGTTGAGTCTGCAAGTGGAAGAAGAGGGCCAAATGGGGGGCCCGCTGTTTGGGGGTATGGAGATCTTGCAGATGGTGAAGGGGGCGCCGCCCAGGTGCTTGGGACTCCTGGGGGGCTGGTAATTCCATGGACTTGTGGCATTTGAGACGAACGCGTGACAAACAACCTCCTGCACCAAGCAAAATGGCGGGTGTTGAAGTACACAAACAGTGCAAAACTGAGTGACGACCGCTTTTACTGGTCCGTGTGGCACAGGCTTGGCTCAAGGCTAAGAGTGCACAAATTGCCATGCCAGTCCATCTCTGCACAGTATTCGGCAGTTTGTAGAGATTAGTGGGTTCTTTCTTTAAGCAACCTGGCACATGTGTTATGTGCTCTTATGTGCTCACTTGTGGAGCATCATCTCAATGCTGGCTCTTCTGCAAAACGAACTCAGGTTTTCTCTGCTGGATCTCTGCTGGTGCTGGGTCTTCATAGTGCTCAGCATAGCATTTGTGTAACCTAAGCCAGGGCTACACGTAGCGATCAATTCCAGCTAACAGTGGTCTGCTGACAGATTGCAAAACATGTCTACGATTTCCACAACTCACTTATCTTTTTAAGCATTCAGTCTACAGCTTTACTTCGATATGCTTGTCTGGGATACATGCTGCTGTAATAAATGGCAATGTGATGCTCTACAATGCTTGTCACACTGTACACTGTACAATACTTGTCACACTGTGTGGTAATGCTCTTTTTGTACATTTGTATAGAAGTTGTATGCTGTGGTGTCAACGCTGTGTTAGTGCCACATGTTCGTTAAATTGGTGCTATTTATGCTTGCATTGATCTGAACCTGTGGTCTTGAATGCAGGAAGTTCGTGAACAGAAGGCTTCGGCAGCTTTGGTGTGCAACAATTTCCTGAAGGGCACCTGCAGGTTTGGGGCTCAGTGCAAGGTCAACCATGACATCGAAGCTTTCCTAAAACAGAAAGCACAGGATCTCCCAGGAAGCTGCCCATTCTCAAGCACTGAAGAGTGTCCCTATGGTATATGCCCCTGATGCTCTGTATCTGCTCAGCATTTTCATGTTTTCTTGCATTTCAATATTTTCAGTTTCTTCACCATGAAATGCATGACACTCAACAATGCCTAAATTCTAAGACATCCTATGTATCTTGTGTGGGCAGCAATTCTGGACAGGTTGTTTGATGTGGCACTATCACAAGCTGTGGTGCAGATGCTGCATATCATTTCGAATCTTTAGCAGTACATTTGTCACCAATGAGCAAGCAAGTCTCTTGTACAAAATTTGGTGACAGCACAGCCTACAACGCATATACTGCACATACTGGAACATACAGCAGCAGTACTGCTAATGTTCATGTGGAAATGTTAATATTGATGTGAAAACCACTACTAGTGATATAACAATATAAGACAAAATACACACTGCAAACTTGCTCAAATGGAACACATGCGTGGGTTTTTTGCTGCCAGTGCTGAATCAATGCACAATTAGTGTTACACACACATACGCTGCTTTGAGGCATTTTTGCCCTTGGTGATGCTGGACTTGGCATGCTAGGTCCCTGAACAAACAATGGTTGGGTTGCTTTGCCGGCCCCGAAGTGCCTGATATAGCCTTCGTTGCTCCCGGGCCTTGAATGTACATTTTAAAGCATGTTACCGTTGGAGACGCATATGCTGATGGTTGTGAGTTGTGTAGTGGCCATTGAACCCAAAAAACCTGGTGCAAGTTGATAGAAACATGGTATTTCTAGACACACACACCTTTGTCATACCGAACCAGTGTTGCAAGATCTGTGTTGTAAGCCATGAGCTCTTTTGTCATCAATGCTGTCTATTGCCCAGCCTATTGCTGTATATGCTGAAAACATGCTTCTGTGACGATAGAGCACAGTGTGCCTAACTGCATCTGCATCGTCCTCTCAGGCATTGGCTGCCGCTGGGCATCCACACACACAAGCCTGGAGCCTGCAGTGCAGGAATTTGCCCATCTTATTCGCGCCTGTGCCTTCAAACCTGCACCATTGGGGCCACTCGATGGGCTTGATTGCAGCTCTCAGAGACAGGACACTGCATCCGATCTGCCACAGAGTGATGCAGGGAAGCAGCCTTCCCCTGCACACTTCCCTGGAGGCACATCTGAGCCGGCACTGCAGCCAGAGCAGCCAAGTGGGCCTGCTGCCCTGCAGATCCATGTGGCCCTCCCCGTTGCGGAGCAGATTCTGACGCCGATGAACAAGTACTCGAAAGACCTGCAGGTTGGACCAGGGATTGAACAAACATGGGTGTGCCTCTAGGTTGTTTACTGTGTGGTGACCTGCGCAGTTCTTTGTGCTTTCATTGGCAACATATAGGTAAGAGGCCGTTCTTGGGATGTTTTTGTGTTGCCAAGCATTGTGACGTCTTTGTTAAAGCAGTATGATGCTGTCCGAGGATACAGAATCGGCAGATACACCTCCCTGACCAGTCTAATGGTACACATTGCTGCCTTCGTTGTATTCACTCAAGAGGACCTGCAGACCAGGCTATGGAAGCGACGCTATGACTTCACCCTCTCCGATGGCATCCTGGAGGCCCTGGGCGTGAAAAACAGCCGCAGCAAGAATGACACCGAGAGGAGGGCAGTGTGCGATGTGAGCCAAGATCCGCTTCCTCACCACGTCGATGCGAAGATGGACCCCACTGAGAGTGCTGGCCCTGCTGGAAGAGAGTCGGGGTCCACCAGTGCGGTGTCATCTGCAGAGCCATCTGTTCAGGCACCAGTTGCTGCAAGGGTTTGCGAAGGTGAGGCTCTGACTTGGACTGCTCTTGTGCTGATGTAGCCACTGATGCATAGCACATTCTATTCTGCAAGTGTATTTGAGATCTTAGCTTGCAGGTGAGTGTGGGTTGCTGTTGATCAGGTCAAGCAATACGTCGAATGGAGCTGCAATATTTCGAAGTCGATTGCGATTTGCTATTGATTTTGATCTGCTCTCCCTCAGCCCACTCCCACCCCAAGCACCTAATTTCTCTTTTCCCAGGCCCTGCATTAATGAGCACACAATGAATCTTCCAGGCTTTGGAATGCCTTGCACTTCCCTTTGCGGAAGTGCAAGGCCCACAAGTGTGCTGGGACGGGGTTGGCACATGAACATTGAATGATCTGGGATCCTTGCCTGAGCTTTGTCACTGAACTATGTCTGAATATGCCTGCCCCTTTCCAGGGCACGATGGTATTTTTTGCACCTTGAAGTCAATGGCAGGCATATCTTCAACAACAGTTATTTGTGGGTGCTCTGTGCTAGCTGTGTCAGCCATATACAGCTAGGAACAGTGGCATGCAATGGACTGGCACAGAATGCCAGCCTCTGGCTGGAAAAATTGGATGACTGACATCAGTCTGTCCCCTTGTTGGGGAGGCGGGGGATCCAACCAGCTGGGATTATGTCATGTGGTTCCAATCCCGATTGAGCATTATTGCCTCTTATGCTCTGGTCTGCCCAGCTCTATTTGCTGCCGTCAAGTTGATACCTAGCGTGCTGCAATCTCTGCACGAGCCCAGATGCGCCCAAGAGCCCAATATGCGAAAGCAACCTCTACATTGAGGTGCCCCTGAGGCCTGAAGAGAAACGGGCTGTGGACTTTCGGGACAAGCTGTATTTGGCCCCCCTGACAACGTTGGGCAACCTGCCCTTTCGACGCGTTTGTCGAGGGCTGGGTGCTGATGTAACGTGTGGCGAGATGGCGATGGCCACTAACCTGCTCCAGGGCCAGGCATCGGAGTGGGCCCTTTTGAGGCGACATCCATGCGAGAAACTGTTTGGTGTGCAGGTGATTTAGCTTCCATTGTGTTCGTATTCCAAACAATTACATCACGTTGTTGGGTGCTTCAGCTTTCATGATTGAAGTTGTTGTTGCCGCGTGAGAGTGGAGAAGAATTGAACCCAGCAGAAATGCGAATGCGAAGCAGGCCGTTTGTCACCAGATGGATTGTCGACATGCAGATGTGGAGCACCTGAGACCATCCAGGTCATCTGTCCTTGTCTGAAGTCACAGGTGCATGACCGCAGGGAGAGTCTTGCATTTGTTCTTGCACGTCTGCTCGCTGTAATAACAACGCCAGAAGGTATTGTGCCCCTGTCCCCTGTTGGCAGGTCGTCGAACAGGTTCACAGTCTCAACGTTCTGGCTGTGCTGCATGCAATGCATGCAATTAAAAAATGCCCCTAAATGCCATTTAGGGGCATTGAAGAAGCCGAAAGTGTCTGTTTGCACAATGCTTCAACCAGATTGATGCTGACCGTCAATGTGCAATGTATGATATGGCATGAGTTACACTGAGCCAGGTGCCTTGCAGACATTTCTGTACTTAACTTGCTCATTCGCATCTATTTCGCATCCTTGTGCCATTTGCGTGAATTTGTAGGCCTCTGCAGGTGTGTGGTGGCTACGGGGATTGTCTGACGCACTGTGCCCAGCTCCTGGAGGAAAATGTCGGTGTTGACTTCGTGGACCTGAACTTGGGGTGTCCCATCGACCTGGTGGTCGGCAAGGGCGCCGGCTCCGCGCTCTTGCTGAAGCCCAAGCGGATGGAGGACATCGTAAGGGGCATGAGTGGAGTGCTGAGTTGCCCTGTCACGCTCAAGATGCGCAAGGGTTACCATGACGGAGAGGATGTGGTTCGATCCTTTTTGCCTTCTGTCGCGGGCTGGGGGGCCTCGGCTGTGACGATACATGGGAGGTCCAGGGCGCAGAGATACAGCAGGCTGGCAGATTGGGATTATATAGAAGCGTGAGTCATGCCTGGTCGAAAGAACGAACGCATGCTTGATGGAAAAAGTCAACCCAGTGCCAGGAATACCAATTCTGGTGTATTGTCATACTCGTCATCTGTAACAATACTGACACAACAAGGCGAGGAAGAGCCATGAGCCCATTGTTTCCTGGTTTATTGTCGCAAAGGGACCAAGTCACAACGTGTTTTGAATCATTGCACATAAGAAAGAGCGCAAAAACACAGAAAACATGTCATCATGTTTCTATTGGCATGGCATACTTAAGGATAGCGCCCTTACAGGAAGATTCTTGTTTGTGCCAGCTGTGCAGCAGACGCCCCCCAGCTGCAGATGATCGGCAATGGAGACATATTTTCTTACATGGACTGGGAGCGGCACATGCAGGGCTCGGGCCTGGCCACGTGCATGGTGGGCAGGGCGGCACTGATCAAGCCCTGGCTGTTCACTGAGATCAAAGAACGGCGCCACTGGGACATCTCCGCCACAGAGCGCCTGGATATGTTGAAGGAGTTTTGCAGCTTTGGGCTGGAGCACTGGGGATCGGACACCAGGGGCGTTGAGACGACAAGGTTGGTGACGACACAACGATGGTTGCTTCGAGACGACATGGCAGGGTGGTGGTAAATATATTTACACATACTGTGTATATGACTGCACATGCACATAGAAATGTGTATGTACAGTGGGGTGGCCTCTTTAAGGCCGCCCCGCGACAACCCCATTTCACTGGCCTTATTGACCATTGGCCTTATTGAGGTCCGCAGCCCATTTAAGGCTGTAGGAGCCATTTGCGGCACATTTAACATCATTCAGTGCATATATTGATTATTTTAAAGGGTATTCTGATATCAAAATATTGTTAGTACTTTATGCGTTGCTCTATGAGAAGCGTAGTACTTTATTGGTAGCATTGATAGTCAATAAGCAATCTTCCAATCGAAGGAGGTGGTTTTGAACTGGGTGACCGGTGCCATGTGGTTGCGAACGCCCTTGCGCCCGTGCTAAAACACAGCGCTAAAGGCCCGAGTGCCCGGTGTGCAAGGCACCAGAGGGTCCATGGGTTACGAACGCCCCGCACGGCACAAAGTCTGGCGAACTTTCGCCTTCAAACAATCCAAAATGCCATCTTCCTTTTCTGTTGTCAACATCCTGCTTTTACGGCCCCCTTAAGCGGCCGCTCGTTGCACCGGTAGTCGCCTGAACTTGTCTTTGTTCGCGCCAGAGCCATCGGCATTGTCCTTGCCCAATTGTTTGGCAATCTCCGAATCACTCTCAAACAAGATTTGACCTTGGTCAACGTCCATAGCATCGAACGGTGGCAGCAACTCACCCCTACTCTGCCCCTTGTCGACAATGGATCGAGGTGGCGCAACAACCCGATCGTAACAAAGGCTACACACACGATCCATTTCTGAATCGCCATCGGGATCTACTTCTCCACAGATCCTGCGGAGGTACCCATCACACCCACAGCACTTGTGTATAGTGTAGTGAGGCGATTGGGGGGTGTCGTGGGGTAGTCTGCACTTCGTCGGAGGCAAGGCATGGCGGCGCCCCGCCCCAATCAAAGTGCCTGTGGCCACGTCTTTCTACTACTTTAGTTCGTGCCACCAGATATGGCCGATTTAGACCGGTCTTGTTGACCGTTTGGCCTTAATCAGGGCGGCCTTAAAGATGGCACCCCACTGTATGTAGAAGGGAGGTATGTTAAAAAGGACTGGCCACAGGGGTCGTCTTGGAACGAAGGTAGCAAGAAAGTTGTTCAGCCCCCCGCCGTGTTGAGTTGGCCAGGCTCCCATTATCCACTTGGGTAGTGTTCTCAAGCTTTCCACACAAGAAGTGCACAAACACGTGTTTCTCGTGTGCCAAACAAAGATCCTTTCACAAGACATCTGCCCATTTCTGTCCTATCCAATACCATGCCATATTGCTGACGCCTCATATTTAGATTTCACCAAGCTACACACTGCACAACCAACCGAACCTTGACATGCCTGCAGTGCTTTATGGGGAAAGACGCCCAACCAATGCCTTGTGCTGTGGGGCACGCAGGCGGTTTCTGCTAGAGTGGCTGAGCTTCCTGTACCGCTACGTTCCCGTCAGCCTGCTGGACATCGTGCCCCAGCACGTCCAGTGGCGAGTACCACCCTTTGTGGGAAGGAGCGACCTCGAGACACTGCTGTCCAGTGACAATGCGGGGGACTGGGTCAAGATATCCAGCATGCTGCTGGGGCCCGCGCCAGAGGGATTCGTCTTCACGCCGAAACACAAGTCGCACGCTTATGTGGTGGATGGAAGCGGGGAGCTGGAGAACGGCTAATGGATTCTGCCAGAACATAAATCACTCGCATATGTGATGGATGGAAGTGGGGAACAAGAGCACGGTTAATGTGTTCTGCCAGGACACAAGTCGCACGCTTATGTGGTGGATGGAGGCGGGAGCATGAGAACGGCTAATGCATTCAGCCAGAATACGAGTCGCACGCTTATGTGGTGGAAGGGAGCTGGGAGCAATCGCTGAGGACTTGCGCGAAAGCACAAGTCGCATGCTTTTGTAGTCGAAGTCTTTTTGATTGCATTTTGAACAGGACGCCTGCCGTCCTTCCGCCTAATGGATCTATGGGCACAGTTCTGGCGATAGGTCAGCTTCGAGAATTGTTGGTCAGGTTGCATGCCCTTGGTTTGGTCGTACTGTTCATACGAGAGTCTTCGGTGTTGTCGAATGTTTTTGGTTTGTACCCAAGCGCAAGCTGCATACGTGCTTGCTCAGTGGCTGGGAGCGGAAAGCACTGTGGTGGACATTGGTTGTGAGTTTCTGATTAGGGAGCTGTGTGTGGTCGCTTGGGACGCGCCTGGCAGTCGGGCTGCCAGATCTGTTTCTGCCGGCCGTTCACCTACCCAGTTTTGAACCCATTGGACCACATGCTGTGCTTGAGCGCGCCCCTAGGCACCCGTGCATTCCCTGGCATGAGCTGCCAAGGAAGCCAATGCAGGTGCTGTGAAGGGCGGACTGAGTCTGAGCGTCGCGGCATTTGTGTGGAAGGGGCGTTGATGAGAACGCCCTTTGAATGCAGCTGGTCTGTGTGAGCGCCAAACGAGGATGGGATACCTAGAATCATGGCGACAATTGCTAAAGCTCCAACCGCAAAGAGTAAGTCGTATGCATTGATGATGGACGGGGGTGGAAAGCAAGACAATTGATAACGACTGGAAAGGAGAAGAGAAGGACTCGTGGATTCACGAAACGGTACCCTTTTTTGACCTTCCACAAGCACTGCGGGCCCCAGACACCGTAACATTGTCGTATGTGATGTATCGTACATGGGGCGTCAGATTCTGGCGTACTTTTTGCCCGCACTGTTATCATCAGCTTGGCTTGCTTTGCTCGCGCGCTTTGCTTTAAAAACGAAGCACGCAAGTACAGCATGCCTCTTTGCAAGCCACTTTTTCTCCACTACTCGCTTCACCACAGCAACGCGATGGGCGCCTTCCCAATCGCGCCCCGACCTGCAACGCTGTGGATCCTCTCACTGTATGCGCAACCAACCTGTGGGGCTCTGATTTCCATCGATGCATTTCGCCACGGCCCATCCCTTCCGGCTCCTCTGCGCCATCGACAGAAGAAGGGTGTCGCCCTCCCCAATGATGGCGTTCATTAAATACTGCAAGAATGCGGTGCCATGGTTGCGTAATTCTATGCTCTGAGTTAATATACTATGTTGGTTGCAAAGGTCTTGTCCGATCTTCAGTTCTTGCTATGACGCTAACGTTGAGGTCGACTCAATGAGTCAGTCCGTCAGCGGTAGACACAAGATTAAGGTCTCTTGGCTAATTTTAGGTTGATGCGGATCTTGATCATCTCACGTTGGTCATCATCATGCAGCACGATATTCACAGCCTTACGGATGCAGCCGATACTTCTGTTTGATCGATTTGTGGTGATTTTCGATGGTCCAAAATCAGTGGACGTCACTTTGTATAGGGGTCCTGAGCAGTGCAAAGACGCCAGTGGCGTCGCGCCATTCGATATGGGAGTTGCCATGACGACATTTATACTTCCTGACTGTCCCGGGACGGACAGGCCCGTTTGATCTTCACGCTTGCATGATGGGGGGCTCTCTTGACGTCAATTGAAAGTCCCATTCTGGAACCTCGTGTGCCTGTCTTCCACTCTGAAACCTCGTCCTTCCCTTCGCGTGCACCAGCAGAAAAATGACATACTGACGATGCCAACCGCGAGGCCATTCTACACTAATTGATGCCATCGCAGCTAATTTCATGCCATCGAAATTCCTGGTATGGCGCCACTTAGTGTCAAGTGACATCGCAGTTCGCATATCAAAGGTTGCTTTCTCAACTCCTGCTCCTAGTTTCAAGCTCACCAACTTTTGGGCGCGTGAAAAGTTATGATTCAACTTTGGCGGTCACAGCGCGGAGCGGGAGGTGGGGGGCGGCGTTTTTTTTTTTTGCTGGTCGCATTGGATGTTATGTGCCCAATGAGATAATATGTGTTGAACATGATTGATAATTAGTAGTATAATGTGTTTCAAAGACGTCTTGAGAAGGCCCTGTATAATGTGTTTCAAAGACGTCTTGAGAGGGCCACGATGGCAGCACAGAGTCTTGATTCGTTTTTCCTATTCCAAAACATTACATCACATTGCAGCGCCCAGGTGTCTCCCCCGTCCTATAACAAGATATGTGGACCTTGTGCCTCCGGTCTCGATTCCGTTCTCTACAATGTTGAGAGTCTGACCACGCGTCCTTAATCTACTGGGAGCAAGGTTTGCGGACATTTTCAACGCGTGTGGTGGAATCAAGGCACCGATCTATTGTCGCAGCGAGGTTGGCGTGAGAAATGAGACATGTCGGTCATGGATGTGGAAGGAATGCTCAACGGCACCCGAAAGGTAGAATGGGCATGCGAATTGTCGACAATCAATCAACAATCATCGATCAATCAAAATCGATCAATCAACAATCGTTGTTGATTGTCGTTACGGAGCCGCTCATGTCCTTCATTTGCCGCGCTGGTTCTAACCAAGGAATCTCACAGCACCAGCAACGAAGACAGCAACCGCTGTGCGCGCCCTAAAACCCCAAAACCAAAACACCGGAAAGATCACAGCACCAGCAGCAAAGCCAGCAGCGGCCTTCGCCCCGTAAATTCCCACAACCAAGCCACCAAAAAGTTCACAGTACCGGCAACAGAGGCAGCAACGGCGATAGTGTACCAGTCCCTCGGTCTTCTCGGTGCGGATCCCATCTTCTTCCGCTGATAACGCCAACGCCCATCAGGGGTTCGGTGGTTTAGGGCTTGGGTGTCCGAAACAAGATGGGATCCACACAAGAAAGACCGAGCGACTAATTTCATGCCCAGCAACGGCATAAACCCCCACATACCAAACCGACATGAGATTGGTCGCTCTGTCCTTTCCTGTGGATCCCATCTTGTTTCCAGACAACCTAAACCCTAGAATGCTGACCCACCGACCAGCGTTGGGCTTGTGAGCGGAAGAAGGGATCCACACGGAAAAGGCAGAAGGACTAATGTGTTCTGAACAGAACCACGGACAACATCACAGCACCCGGAGCCAGAGCCAGCGACGGGGTGGCGACCCCCAGCCGGGGAGTGTGAGCGCGCTGACCTGGCGCTCAGCCCGTGGTTGGCCATACTTGGACGGGCCGAGGCCAGAATCGCGCTGAACCTACCCCTGAAAGTGCCCTCGGGGGGGGCGCCCGGCAGCCCCGACTAAGGCTGGCCGCTGCCGGCAGGCTCATCAGGGCATCGGGGTCCCCCCCCGGCAACAAACAGAGCCGCCCCGGGGCCCCTCCAGGCCACCCTGCGTTGATCTCTACACCGGCCTGGGCGAGGGGGAAGGCACGGGGGGAACGCAGCCTCTCTCCTGCCCCGGGTTCATCGAGTCGCTCGCCGGGATTTTGAGCGGTCGTCGGAGATGCGGCGAGCGGCATGGGGCTCTGAGTGGTGGGTGCCGGGGGTCGGTTACGTGAAAGGTGGCCACCCCCGGGGGGCTCGCGCTGCCGGCGCAAGGGGGGGAGGGGCGATGGGCTGCCGCCCGCGAGATTGCGCCTGGGGACATGTGGCGAGGGCGCGGACGTCCGGTCGCTGGACGCGCGACGGATCGCCCCGCGCTGGGGGCATCATTTTGCGGGAAGGGGAGAAGCTGAACGATCGCCCAGTTTCTGTTGGCTGGGAGGGCGGGAGCCGGGATGGCGCGCAGCATAACGGCCGGGCGGCCCGGAGGTCGTCGAGCGTGCCGCGCCCATCCACAGCACCGCGATTCGCCACCGCTCGCCCTGAGTGCGCGCCTCCGTTTCTGTGCCCTCCCCAGACGGTGTTCCAGCCCGACCGGCTGCCAAACCAGCGGCTGCGGCGAAGCCTTCGATGCCCAACGCCGGGGTCTCACTGTCCGGATTCTTCGACGGCCTCTTGGCGCTCGCCCGCTACCTGCTCTGCCTCCCCGGCTGCCTCCTGGGTCGCAGGCACGGATGGTCCAAGCTGAAGGAAGATGACAATGAAGTCGACGTCGTCGATGAGTTCGTGCTACCCGGCCGCTCGGTCGTCACGTTCAACCACAGCAGCGCCCAGGCGGCGCCGCCCGCCTGGGTGGACCTCGACAGGAAGCTCTCGGATGTCCAAGGCCGGCCCATGCTGAATCAAGCCTGCCCAGTGCTGGGCGCATCGACAGCGGATCCGGGGGCCGGTCCCGGGGACCTCATCGACATCCTGGCGGACGCGCCGGTGGCGAGTTGCCCCCCCCCGGTGGTCGATGCAGAGCAGTCGCGCCGTGGGGCGAGGGGGTTCAGCGTCGGCGCCGTTGTCAGTGCCGGCCCCAGTGCCGGTGCCAGTGCCGGTAGGGATGATGAGTTGTCCAACAGGCCCCTCCCAGCGTCGATCTCAGACCCGACGGGCGCGGACGGGAGCGGCGGATTGCTTGCTGCAGGGCTGGCTTCGCATTGCGCACCGTGGCGACCGCCACAGCCGGCGGGAGCGGCAGGCATTGGGGCTGGGGCACCGGGCAGCCCGTTTGGGGTCTTAGGCTCTACTCCGGGCGTGAGCAAATTCACGCATCAGAGGTCCGTTCCTGCGGACTTTGGAGCGAGGGCCATCGGGACGAATGGTGGCATGGCGAGCCCATTCGCTGGTGCCGGCTTGGCGTGGGAGCCCACAGGGAGGGGGCTGTTGGGCGATCGGCGCAATGGGGTGGGCGAACTTGCTGGGCCGGGCAGATCGGTGGACGCGGACAGGGTAAAGAGTGGGGCGCCCGGCGCGCACAAGCGGGCGGTGTCTGCGTCCGTGAGGAAGGAGTGCCAGCTGCTGGCGCTGCTCCCCCAGCGGCTGGACGCGGACGGGCAACTTAGGGCGCCGGACGCGGTGTCCGGGATGGGCGGACAATTTGGGAACGGGTTGCCCGGCGCGACCGTGACAGTCACGCGGACGAGGTCGGCGCCCATGCCCTGGCGCATGCCGTCGCCTGACCCCGAGGGTCAGGAAGCTGTCGACGTCAAAAAAGAGCCCAAAAAATTGATGGGAGGGGAGGCGGGATCTAAAGGGGGCCGGTGTGAGCACGTCCTGTGCGCGGCGGCGGACGACATCGGCCAAAGGCGGTCGATGGAGGACAGGAGCTTCGCGGGCACGGGGAAAAACGCGTGCTGCCCAAAGATCGGCGCGTTCCTGGGCGTCTTTGACGGCCACAACGGCGCCCAGGCCGCCCAGTTTTCCAGCGAGCACTTCATGCCCTTCCTTGCGGACGCCCTCTCTGGCGGGCTGAGCGTGGGCGAGGCTCTGGAGGGGGCGTTCAGGCGGTGCGAGGAGGCGTTGTTCGACGCTTGGAAAGAAGGGGAGGTCGGAGATGCGGGCACCACGGCGCTGGTGTGCGCGCTGACTTCCGACGACCACCTGCACTTGGCCAATGCCGGGGACTGTCGCGCCGTTTTGAGCCGGTCCGGGCGCGCTGAGGCTCTCACAAAGGATCACAAGCCCGGGAACGAGCTGGAGAAGAGGAGGATTTTGGCCTGCGGTGGTTTTCTGGACGATGACGGCTATCTGAACGGGGAGATTGGCGTCTCGAGGTGCTTCGGCGACTTTCACTTGTCGGGGATCAAGAGGCCCCGGGACGGCGGCGGTCCGCTGATCGCCACCCCCGACTTGGTGGACGAGGAGCTGAGCCCAAGTTGCGAGTTTGTGATCGTGGGATCGGATGGCCTTTGGGACGTGCTGAGCAACCAGAGGGCGGTGGACATGGTGCGCGCCGAGCTGAACGAGAGCAGGAGTGCTGAGAAGGCAGCGGAGAAGCTTGTGTTTGAGGCCAAGCTGAAGGAGAGCCGGGACAACATCACCGCGGGGCTGATGGTGCTGAGGGACCTGCCGCTGCCGGCGAGGAGGACGGAGAGGAAGCGGTTCGTGAACAGCCGGCTGAGGCTCAGCAGCAGGAGCCTCATGGACCTGAAGCACGCCATTCAGAACGCCGACGCAATGCCTTTGCCGCGGCCGATTTGAGAAGTATCTCTGCAAATTTGAGGATTCTTCGTACAGATCTGTATGTTCGAGAGCTCTGATTTGAGCTGTGGCGGAAGTGGGGAATGTGAGCCGCAGGGAGTCAGTGGTGGGAGTCCGCGTGAATTCTTTCGTCCCTGAGGTTGGGTGCGTGCATTTGTTGAGCCCCGGTATCACGAGAGGAGTGGTGTGTCGAGCGGGAGCTGAAGACAGTTTGTGGGAGGGTTAGCATTGCTGTAGTATCGACGGGCTAGGAGATAGGGCGTCATTGAAGTTGCAGTTTGGGGAACTAAGGTGCCGGCTGGCTCCTTCCCAAAGGTGAAGGGGGAGTAGTGCAGGGAGTCGGGTAGGTCGCCGCGTGTTGTTGCAGGGCTGGGCTGCGCAGATCAAAGTTTGTGAGGGCTGTGGGACTAGGCAGATCTGGAACTCGAACACACAATTCCGAATTGAAATGCGTCCAGGGCTCCTTGTGGGGAGTGGAGTGGGCTATTCAAATTTTGACTTTTTTACCCCATGAGATTTGCCTTTGCGAATCATTTATAACCTTTTCCCTAGTGAGTTCTCGGCTGCCTGCGGTTCTCTCTTGGGTTGTTTTGCTGAGCTTGGGCAGGCGCTGTGAGCCTTGTTTGGTCCCAGTATCCAATGCGAATGAACCCAGCAACAAACCCAGTCGACACTGTGAGACTGCCAACTACTGAAACGGGCAATCGGACCAAAGCACAATGTGGAGTGTACACTCAAGCGCCAAAGTGCCACAGCAGGGGGAGATGCCCACCATAATAGCCCTTGCGATGTGCCTGCTATTTGTTATTGGACAAGTTCACTGAAACTGGATCAACGCTTGTTCCTAAAGGTGCGCCGCTCACCACAAAGCACACGCCACAGCGAATCATGCAGAGCACCAACCGCCGATGTGTGTCTTAGCGCTTTCACACGCAGGCACAGTACCACCGCCTGTGTCAGCGTCTCCGTGCTCGGCCATGAACAACCAGCGTGTGTTGCATCTTGCAAATAGAAGCACAGTGACTGTGTCCTCTGTGCATGATCGTGATCAATCGCCACGTGTTTCCACGTGCTTTGTGTAGGCAGCGTTCGCGACTGCACCGCTGACAGCAATCAGCGCACAAGACGTCGCAGCGCTGACACTCAGACACACGATTCTGCATGCCGTCCATCGGCCTTCCGCGACAAATATGTCTGACTCTTGTCCACTCCTCTCTCAACATTGGATGCCCCACAATGTGATCGAGGCCGAATTGTGCGCCTTGCTCTCCAGACACAAGTACATCCAAAGCCCGAGGTTTTCGCCCATCAATCTGCCCATCGTGGTCGAATTCGCAGCTGACTGGCTTGGGGCCTCGAATGGGTGTCAGCCCACATTCGTACCATCATGCCAGATACGCCACCTGCCATCCGTCGCTTGGTGATACCAATGCGATGCCCGTCAATTTGAAGATGCCGCTGTGGTACTCATCGCCTGAAGGTATCAGGGAGCGATGTTCGCCTACTTGGCGTTGGCCTGTGCCAATTGAGCCATAAGGTCATCCATGCTGGAGTCTGCAACGTCCACTGCCCCAGCTTTGAGGTCCTTTTCGTCTAAGCTCTTTTTCTCCTGAAAGAATAATAGAATTGGCACCATATCAACATGTCGAAACTACACCAAAGTAAATGGGTTCCAAAACGAGTAAACAGAACAGGGGAGCTTGCAGAGGAGCTGGGCAAGGATAAACGAGTGGACATGTTTGTCCGTGCTGACAAACGTGAAAAAATTGGCAAGCAAGCACAACCGAACACACAAAAGAACGCGTTCCTGGAAATCAGGGCAAAAAAACACCCACCAAGCTGCGTGGTGGCATTTGAGCACCCAAGCGTACAATTGTCCAGCATTTTTTGCCGTGGGTCAAGTTGCCCTTAAAGCAGCCCAACAGCGTGGCCAACTGGGGCCTCTTTCGTTTGGCAGCATCCTACCCGTGTGGGGCATCTGCTTGTACAAAACATGCGCTGTGTTTCACCCTGCGATGCTCATCCAGCGTTCTAACCCCTCCACAGAGTGGGACATGCAGCAACTGAAGAAAGCAAGTGCACTCACCGGCATGGAGAAGACCAGGCCTTCTGGCAGTGCGGCACCCCCACCGCTGGGCTCTGCCTGCGCAGACTGGCCTTGACTCTGCTCATCTGCTACGACCTCGATGCCCCAGTCATTGTCGTCATGCAGGGCATCCGCGTCGCCGTCGCCCAGTCCATCATCCGTTGCCAAGAAAAACGCGACTTGACCCTGAGAACAGAAAAGCTGTGCTCGAAACTACCAAGAAACTGCCGAATGGTTAAAAGTTTTGATTGCAAAGCAACTATTCAACAAGCGTCTGATGCCACCTGCACACTCGTATCATGTGGACAATGCTGATGCTATTAAGAACGGGACTCATGCATATGGGCAAATTGCACG